GAAAAGGTTATTCTGTTGTAAGAAACGAGTCGTCGTTAAATTAGCTAAGAATACTTTTGAGTTATAATCGAAATATAGATAGATAGTGCGTTTGCTGCGATGATAATAAAATGTTGGGATAATAATAATAATAAACATGTAAATACAATCTAATACTAATAATACATAATAATGTCCCGAGATAAACCGTCCATTTACAATGATATAAATACAAAGAAAAAGGGTTATATATATAAATTGTTTGTTAATAATGTTTTCTCTCTATCGTCCCTGGTTTCCGAGAAACTCTTTGTTTTTCACCTCTCGCCAAAATCGCCACTATCATAACCATAACAGTTCTGCATTGTCCCAAATTCAGTTTCTCCTTGCACAATTGTGTCGTTGTATACATCTTCATTGTACTGACAATCGCCACCATATTGAATATATGTGCTTTCATTGTATGCGTTGTTTCCCACGTTGATGGTCCGCTCCGGATACGTAAATTGCACAATATCTTCGTCATATCCCGTATTATTCAAACTCAATGGAAAATCCAGCGGGGTAGTGTCAAAGGTACCATACAACAAGGATTCAAATTCAGGAGCTGTTAAAGATTGGTACTGGGCGGGAATGGCATTACAATCGACGGCTGTTGCGTTGCACATGGATCCATTAAAAGGAAACTGCATGCAGGTCTCTGCAGTTGGCGTAATGGGTAAATCGTTCGGAAGAAGCAGTGATCTCTGAGTTGGCGGAAAGTGTGTGAATGAATTGACCAATGACGTATTGTCGGCGGTGACAACAGCAGCGTCGATATTGTTGGCGTCGTCGAAATTGGAATCATAATAATAGACATTGTTGTATTCCGGTCCCGTCCACAATCCGTCACTGTCATCGCTGATGTCATTGCAGTTTTCGTCACTCAGTTCACTCATGTCAAATGCGGGTTCGTCAATACACAGAGGATTGGTGGCGGTCGTGGCGGCTGCGATGTTATTATAAGCGGTATAAGCAGCAGCGGTGATGATAGGACTGTCCATTGTGGTTATGCTTATTCTTGGGTTACATTTAGCAATTCGCTTTGCAGAATAATCAGAGTCAAGATATGCGGTATTACGACAGGCATCGACAGGAGAGTCAACAACAGGATTTGTGGTCGCTGTATCACTAGCACTCGAAATACTAATTTTAGAACCGGTCGCAGACCTTTTGCGTTCGTGTGACAATTCAAGTTCCTTTTTTCTCTTTGCAAGACTTCTTTTTCCACTTTTGGGACAATACTTGTATTCTGGGAAGAGTTCTTTATGGATAGAATACGCAGCTTTGCTAAGTTCAAGAAAGAAATCCTTTACATTTTGCGATTCCTTTGCCCATTCTTTACTAGCGGTCGAGGAAATTTCACTGAAAAACCCGGACGCATTTTTGGGACTGAGCTTGCTAGAATCCTCTCCTAATTTATTTTCTCTTTCTAACAAAAGTCGAGCCTGTACGTCTTTACGATACAACACAAAGGCATTTTGAGGCCTGCTTATGCCTCGGCAACCTCTCTTCTTTTTGCCTCCCCATAATAGTTCTTCCAAAGGTAGTGTGGTTGACATTATGTCGAATTTTTTCTCAATGTTTGATATGTGTTTACGAATAACAGTCCGCATTACTTCCTTGAATTCTTTCGTATCGAGACGATTCTGTGTACGTGGTTGCCGTGTTCTCGATCGGCGTGTTGTTGGTTTTGGTTTTGGTTTTGCTGATGTCGTCATTGTTACTGTCGGCACTGTCATTGTCGTTGGTGGTGGTGTTGGTGGTGTTGTTGGGCGGGGCATTTCCAAAATAAAAGTAAATACGTTTGATAGAAATGTAAACTAGTCCTTGAAAGGTTCGTATACGGATAGATGATCTTTCTAGACCTTAACCGATATGTGGCTCCAATATTATTGTGGCAATTGGATTATTAGCCACAGGAAGCAAGTACCTCTTATTTATATATTTTTCAGGCAGTTGTACAACCTGAGGTTGGCAAAGAGTTTCAAATTTATCATCCTGCAGCAAAAATGATTATAGTAGGACAAGTAAAACTCAATGACAAAATAACGCCGCCCGAATAGAGTTTTGTCTCTCCAATAATAATAACAATGGAATTTGCTTGTCCAGACACGAAATATTAGAGGATTCTTTTCATACAATGCCATTAAACGATCCTTGATTTGTTATTGTATAATCAATTTGAACTTATTTAGAGACAAATGATTTTGGCATTCATTAAATTGATTGTAAAGATAACAAAGGTTGTTTCGTCGTCATATTAACCAATGGGCACAGATAATATTATGACTCATAACTTATGGACGTACAACATATTCGGGTTGCACATCATTTCCGACTATACGACAGGTAATGCTACCCTATTCACTTGTGCGACCAACGAAGCGTCGGAGTTTGTCTCATTTTCTATTGTTTCATCGACAAGACAGAAAAGAACAGAATTTGGGGTCATATTATGCAGTGTCTGAAATTTTTAGCCCAACTAGGCATAAAATTTTCAATGAATAGTTGTTATATTAGTAAAGACGCTTGTTTTTATATCATCGCCTGATTCTCCGCTAACAACCATGTGCAAATTACGTCAAACATTTGCAGCAGGGCATATGATAGTAAGAACTGCTGTTGATACTACATACATACCTACCTACCTACATGCATACATACATACATACATACACACATACATACACACATACGTACACACATACATACACACACATATATATAGGCTGAGTTGAAACTCTTTCAAAAGTTGCGGACGTTCTCGTAAGGTGGGTATAATCAAGGGCATATGATTGCAAGTCAGTTTCTTTATTATGCACTTCTATATTTAGAAAAATTGCCATATTAATATGCGCTTGGGTATTTGGAACGCTGGTTTGGGGTAAGGCATATAGAGAGATGGACAAATAACATCAAAGAAACTCGATCATTCTAGTCATTTATCGTTCAAACAGTGTATCGTCAATCTTGTAAAGATTAGAGCTCTATCGCTTATTCCAAAAATAAATTCTAATCATTCTTATGTTAGTGTAATTTTTAATAATTACAGCTATAAATTTAAGTTTGAGGACTGCAACCAATGTTATGCAGGGGAGGAGGAACAAAAAAGTTCATTCAAAATTACCCATTTTCTATAATTATAGCAGGAGATAAAGGGTAAGAGATAATGCTGACTGACTCAAAATCATATCTGATATAGAAAGTCTTAAAGAAATTGTAAAACTTAGTATTGCTTAAAATAGAATCGCGCATTAGAAACGACGTCATACGTTTCGGCTAAAATAACTTGCTCAAATATGGTTCGATTTGCGTGACATTCATAGGCTGTCACATGTCTTGTCCCCAAACGTTCAACATTATTAAATGCATTGTTTAGGTAAATTTAGTATCATCTATACTACTGTATATCAACCTACTAAATCGACTTTTGAGAGTAAATCACATAATGTAAAACTGTCATTTATCGAAAGTTTGGAACTGTTTATGCCAAGCGATTGTGATTAGCAAGTTATATTTAGAAATGTTTATGCAAACTGTTTGTTAAATCACTAGTAATCCGACACTTATGTTACATAGCTCACATTATAGTTATACAGACAGTACTTACAACACTACCTTTCGCACATCGAGGCAACCTAAGCGAAGTTTATCAATAATAAAATTTGACCCTTTTAATATGGTAGACTAATAGATCGGATTTTATTCACACAAAGCATATGTATTAGCATGTTACTGATCGTAGAAACAGATATTGCTTTGCTAACGACTTGTAAGCATCCTAGTTACAGACAAGTGCTCTAATGTTATGTTAATCTAGTAAACATATAGTCAACCTATTCGCTGCGGCTTATATTGAAAAAACAGGGTTTTCTAACAGCATATTGTAACGCGCGTGCAACACAATCTTTGATCAACAAGATCATGATCATCGACCGATTGGGCGTTCTGAGGTAATTTAGCCCATTATAATAATGAAGACAAAACTAGCAACTTCCATTCAAAAAGACGATATTTGATTGCCGAATAACGTAACACCCCATTCCATGTCCCCCTCATCCCAACCCACTGTTTCTTTGTAGCTTTAAACAAACCATTCAAAACCAATTCAATACTTTAATAGTTAACACCCGAAAATTACGATACGTCCATCGTTTTCGTTGTTCCATTGTAAACCTGGCCTCGTTCCTGCATAAACTCGGCCGATTGCCAAACAGTAGCTTTTCCTTCTTCTTCTAGAACATAGCTGCGCACTGCACGTTCCCAAATTTTTTTAAAGTATATGTCCTAATCGAGACGGTTTCCCAAAATAAGCATATGCATGATCTCGTTATATGACTGATTTGTACGGTAATGATGCCTGAAATGTCTTTTTTTGCATCCGCATGCAAAAGACAGCATACTAATATGTTTAATAAGAATGTTGTATGTAATTCTCCAGATGGTAACACATGCCATCTTTAGCTGTGTTTTTTTTTCATTTGGTTCGGTTCAATTGTACATTGCCAGGAATACGAACGAAAATAATTTGATGTAAGTTAAACCATGTGAATACGGTTACGAGATTGTCCTCGTGTCAAGCCTTTTCTGACATGCTAAACTGTGTTCTGGGTCTATTGTCTATATTACTAAAAATTCTCGAGTTTAAAAAACAAACTATTTACTCTTCTCATTCTAAATAGAAACATATCGCATCCTTCTTCTTATTTTCAAAACGAGAACGTACGTTCCTTGTACACTTCTTCCTTGTATAATAAAGTCTTAAATGAAATTACGATTTATCATTTAGAGTGACGGATATTGCTTGCAATTGATTATCATTTCCATTATCAAAGTGTGTTTAAAATCTTTATTGAGGGAGTGTCAATCGGAGAACCTTGGCCAAGCTCTATCCGTGTTTCAGCCTTGCGTTTTTATCACCGAACACGGCAGATCTTAGTTCTGGTACCAGGTGCCTGGATACGGTGTTCTATTTTTGCGATATGCATATTTCTTTTTTTAAAAGAATCGGGAGTTTTTTTTACTGTTTCAGTACGGTACACAAGCGTATTAACTACAGTTTATTTATTAATGGTCACTACGTTTGATAATCTGATTGGTTAATCACAGTGAACACATCACGTCATTTACACATTAGAGCGTTTCAAGTACGTTTGTAATCCAAAAAGGCAGGGCGTATAATCCCAAAGCTCAATAAACTCTTTTTTTTTTTCCCCATTCCCCAACCTACCGTATGTGGTGTAACAAAATTAGTCCAATCTTAATTCGACACGAACCAACGAATTTGCGCCTATTCCTAAATGAAACTTGCCGGTTTTAGCTGTCCCATCAGTTGGCATTTTTGATGACAGATCTTATTGTTAGAAATCGTTTCGTAACGAATTCATCAGCCGAACCAATAATGAGAATGTCGATTCAATTATGGTTATACTGCCTACTGTTCACATATTCTCCTTAACCATTTTACATCAACAAAGCTTGCTATGCTAACGATGCGTACTCCAATTGCCCATTTGACATTATTACACAAGACAACAACTGACATGACAAAACCCGGTCCATTCACTGACAAAAAGACTCTTTCATTGCTATAATCAAAAACAGTGCATGGATCAATCGATTCCCATTCACTGCTATTTCCATGTGCTCTTTTAAGCAGCAAACAAGGTAGTTGAATTAACTCTCCACTATTGACGTACAAAATGAAGAGTCTCGTCGATCAGCGAAAAGTTGTATATAACAATCGCACTATCTAAATGTTGACGTGATGCCTCTAACGCTTTGATTTATGCATTAACAACATCCATAACAGCTTATGTCTATACAATACACAGTACTGATAACTATCAGCAAGAAACTTTATTAGTATCGAATGTTAAGCAGATGACCATCGAAATATGTTGTACGGAAACAAAGCTTGGATCGTAAACAAGTTAAAAGGCTATGTTGCTCTTAATGGAAATAGTCGTTGTTTGTGCCATTAGAAGCCCTTTTGTGCGTACTTAATCATGACTTTGAGTCGGATGAAACGACTGACGGCGGTCTAGCAGCTATAATCGTAAGCGTCTTGCTGGTGAATTTGAAAATCAACTTATCAGTGCAAACGGTGCCGTTCTTTTAAAGTTTCATACATTACAAACAGCTATAATGTTGCTGATTAACCCATTTCGGCATCGGTTAAAAACAATACGTAGTCGGATATCACTTACTTCTTCTGTTAATGTAATCATTTCCTGTATGATTGCTAACATAACATATTGCTGGTATAACCGTTTATTGATATCCAACTTTTCGAATTGGCATATGTGAAAATGGGGTCCGGTTTATTTCAAAAACTATAACTCCGAAATAATGTTGGGGAAATTTTGTCGGTGAAATGAGATTGTCTCCCGTGAAAATACAATAACCAGGTTTCCCCTATTAACGACAACGTTCTGTAAAGTCGTTGTAAACGGTTGAACGCTAAAAGTTTCTTGCCTCTTGTACTACACGAATAGCTAACCAAGCTATTACTTCACCATAATTTAATTTATGCCTATACACCTTCGTAATTTCTTTCGCCAATTTTTTTTCCCTGCAAGTGCTTTATTTGGCTAATACTCATCGTAATGTCTTAGTTGCTTATATTTTGCCACGTTTTGCGTTTTCAGCACACATATAGAATCGGTATTTATAAACTTTGATCCAACAACCACCAATATTAGAACTTGAGCCTTTATTTGTTTAGTTATTAGTATCA